GTCTAAATTATGACATGGGTGTCACCCGCGTATTTGCGGGTGTCTAAATTATGACATGGGTGTCAGCGGGTGTCTAAATTATGACATGGGTGTCAAAGTACTGATTTATAACCCCGTAACAGAGGGAGGCTATCGATGCGGGTGTCAAAGTAATAACTTACACCTCTGCCGTATGCTGCTGCTGCAGCAATGATTTGCAACCTCAGTAATGAAGGAGGCCTATCTCAAATTTGAGTTTTTAGCAGCTTTTTTTCTGCCTGACCTCCGCAGTATACCGGTGTCAAAGCGATGATTTGCAACCTCAGTAATGAAGGGGGGCTATCTCAAATTTGGGTTTTTAGCAGCTTTTTTTCTGCCTGGCCTTCGCAGTATGCCGGTGTCAAAGTGATAATTTACAACCCCGACCACCGCCAATTTGCTTTTTTAGCTGGCTTTTTCCTGCGTAACCTCTGCCGTAGGTATGTGTGGCTGCTACAGTGATAATTTGTAACCCCAGTAACAGAGGGAGCGGGAGGCCATCTCCAATTTCCTTTTTTGGCGGGTTTTTTTCTGCGTGACCTCTGCCGTTTGCAGCTGCTACAGAAATAATTTGCAGCCTCAGTAATAGACGGGGGCTATCGCAAATTTGGCTTGTTAGCTCTTTTTTTCTGCCTGACCTTGCAGTATGCCGGTGTCAAAGTGATAATTTAAATAATTGCAGTAGCAAGGGCAAGGCGAAGGCGCCGGTGTCAAAGTGATAATTTATAGATAATTGCAGTAGCAAGGGCAAGGCGAAGGCGAAGGCGTCGCTTTAGAAGGATTCTTTCTTGCTCCATCTGGTGGCCCTCTCCCTCATCGATCCCTTCGTAGTGCAAGAACTTTTCAGGCGTTATGCCTCTGTATCTAATTATCATGTTAGCCCGTGTTCATTCTTCCGTCCGTCTGGTTCGTTTGCGACGGAGAGCCAGAACTTTGGCTCGCACGTGGAATGCAGCACGAGCTGCGCTGGATGAAGAGCTTGCAAAGATCGATAGCCTGAATCTTCCAAAAGGGGATGAGGCAAAAATTCGTGCATATGAAAAAAGTGGAGATCGTGTCGCTGTGGTTATCGCTCAGGCGTCAGCAGAACGAAACTGCATTGGAGAAAACTACACAGGGGGTGATCGTGATGAGTCGTCATCAACGCGAGATCGAAGGTGCTCTTCTCGGTGCACTATGAGGCGACCAGCACGAGAGCAGGTGGACAAAGAAGAAGGACAACAACGGCCTAAAAGATGTGATGCAGTCGGACACACATCGTCATCAACCACCACGACTAAGAAAGGTTGTTGTAGCCCTCCTGCTCAGGTGCTGAATCAGGAAGAAATAAGTCACGACCCACCAATTGTGTCTTCTAAGGACAAGAACGCCATGGCATCGAAGAAGACTAAAGTTCATCGTTGCGTTTTACTGGAAGACTCTGAGGATGAAGTTAAGGACGTCGAAAGACGATAGAAAAAATGAGCTTCTTGTTGGTCGTACTAGAGAAAGTCAACATATTAGTGATAACAATTCTTCGAAGGCTTCGTAGTGGTATTCTGTGGCGGTATTTCGACCTGTCACTCTACTCTGCTGTTCATGTTGTTGACCACGACGACATCAATGCTAAATGCACGAGATGAATCATGTGTTCAATTATTCCATCAGTGCTTATCGTTATCCTCATTTTTCGGTTAGAAGAATTTTTCTTGAACTTGAAGAATGATTCTTCTAATGTTGGAGCATGTAGAACTTCAAAAGTAGTAGAGCAGGAGAAGGGAGGCGAGCAAGGTCTTGGAGAGGCTCCAAGAACGAGTGAGCACCAAGAGGAGACAAGCAAGAAGAAGATGAAGATTACTGCTGAGCATACCTCCCGTTTACTTGCCGTTGCTTCATCTGAGAGTACTCGTTTGCTGGAAGATGCTGAACATGGTGCTTCTCGTAGCGGTGGAGGTGGTGCTGGAAAGACAGACACGACTTCTAGACGAGGGCAGGAAAGCACTCTCACAACCTTCTTACACAAAGTAGTCGGCTCATGTCCGAAAATTCGAAGTTATGCTGCCGCTGTATGTGGTTTTGTAACTACAGAACTACCCTCCTGATTATCTTGTTCTCGTGATCTAATTTCCAGAGATACAACTACTCTACCACGACGTGATAAATATTATGGTACTGGTAGAATGATCATGTTGTCTCAATTTTATACTTATAGTATACTTACTTACTTACTTACTTACTCATTTCGCTAAAAAATATTTCCAGGAGGTACTACCACGACCGTGGTGCATATCCGTGACTATTCTTCAGCCGTGGGTGAAGTGTATCGATTGATCGGAATAGACACTCTGGAGATGGATCGGATTAGGGAAAAAGCCCGCGAAAAAGGGATCCGTGGCTCGAATGGAGGAACTCTCATGTGGCTACGGGAAGGAGAAGGTACTATGATTATTAGCGAGGCTAGTTAGTAAAGTTGATGAAAAACCTACAATCTAACTCACGCTCCATTATTTGTGGCTATTTGTTCAAGATGTTGTAGTAGAAGGAGTCCTCTCGGCAAGAACTTCATCATTTGATTTCAAGATGTAGCCCTCTCGACAAGAACTTCAACTCGACAACTTTATATGGCAACCTTAAAACGTTATTTTAGCAAAACGTTAAAAGTTGATTTTTTGAAATAGCCGACTAGGTTCCTAAGAAGTCAATTTTTAACGTTTTGCTAAAATAACGTTTTAAGACTGCCATACTTTAACTACAGATGATATACCAGTTGCTATCTTATCCGATGCAGAATTGGAGATGGCTTTAGCAAGTTGTGCAAAAGCGAAGGAGACTCCGAGATTCTGGTTTCAAAGGAAGAAAAATGAATGAGAAGCCTGAAGAAAGTTCTAGTATCCTCAATATATAAAGTCAAAGGAAGAAAAATGAATGAGAAGCCTGACGACCACGACCATCATGTCTCCGTCACGAGGGGGAAAATAGATGAATATGTTGGCAGATGACTTGTTAAAACAGGACCTGGGCCGCCAGGTCAAGAACAAGATGGGGCACTTCGTCTAACTATAATATGCTGTATGTACATTTCAACTTCGTCCTATGATTAGCTCTGATTCTCCTGTGCTGCTGTTCTCTGAAGATCACGTTCACGATCTGAGCAACTCTGATTCTGTGCTGTCCTCTGAGCAAGTTGGATGATCAAGAAAAGACCCGCCTGTTCCAGTCCTAGTACAACTGGAAAAGATCAAGAAAAGATCCACTTGTTCCAGTCCTAGTACAACTGGAAAAGATCAAGAAAAGATCCACTTGT